TACTATCCCTTAAAAATCATAATGTTTTAATAAGGTCTCCTCTCATTTTTCTAAACTCCAATGAGTACAGACTCAATCTACTCAACCGCTCCTCATACAACAATCCGTCCCTACCTAACAAACCATCTCTGAACAGCCTCCAGTGCCACTATATCTTTCCTTAGACAAGGGCCAAAACTGTACACAGTATTCTACGATACCAAGGTGTAGAGCTGGATGAACACAGCAGGCCAAGCAGCATCAGATGAGCAGGAAGGCTGACGTTTCGGGCCTAGACCCTTCTTCAGAAAAAAGTATTCTATGTATGGTCTGATTAGTGCCTTGTATAGTTTTAGCAGGACTTACCTATTTTAATACTCCACTCCTTTTGAAATAAAGAGCAATATTCCATTTGCCTTCCCTATTACCCACTGAAACTGGATGCTAGCATTTTGTCATTCATGCACAAGGACTCCGAAATCCCTGTGCTGCAGCTTTCCACAGTTTTTCTACATTTAAAGAATATTCCGTTCCTCCATATTCCATCTGCCAAGTTTCTGCTCACTCACTTAACCTGTCTATGCCCCTCTGGAGAATTTTTGTCTCATTTTCACTGTTTGCCTTCACATCTATTTTTAACTTTTATTTAACTGCTACATGTCAGAAAAAACTAGACTTTCTTATCATTCCTAATGATATTTTTTAAACTGTAGTATAAACTGTGAAAATGTTTAACTCGTTTTTAGTGAGAGTTCACATGATAACATAATTGTGAAATGAGGATTTTAATCAATCTTCTGCTCATGCATCGAGGGATGGCAATAAACTTTGGTATTGCCAGAACAGCCCACACCCACAAGATTTCTCTCTGAAGAAATCATTCTCTTACCATGTTGAAAATGATCAAACTAGCAATAATTGGCAGCAGTATCAACCTACATTTGACTGATCCCAATAGTTCACTGTGACTAGAAGTTTTCTGTCACACGTAAAGCTTGGACCAAAACAAACAAGTTTTAGAAAGCATACCAAAACTATTTTCTCACCAGTTTGATTGGGACATTTTGTTTATAATGTGGAACATAAGGAGACTTAGATCTAGGAACATGTGTTAAAAGAGCTGCTTACCTAAGATAAAGGATTCCTAGGTCATAAATGGAGCTTAAACAGCAGTGGAGAACTTAAGGCTAAATGTCGGAGATTGGCTGAGAGATGTACCTTAATGGCTGCAGAGGTGCACATTTCTGTGAATCCTGCTGTTCAATCTTTGTTGACAAAAGTTGCAATTATATTCAATTTTCTTTCATGGCGCATCCAAGCTGCTGTTTGAAAAGATGCTGGCATTTTTAAGAGTATAATGCAAATATGTATTACAGAGATGATCGAAGCTTTATTTAAAAGTTTATTAAACATTATTAGCTTTCCAAAGAAAAAGTAATAGCAAACAAAAATGGATGCTTGGCTTTCCAATGGTTTAGGGTATCCTAATATCATGATACAGGCACCATATGAATATCTCTGAAGGTTGAACCATCTCCCATCAGACTGTGACACAGGAAACGCATCACTAATATCAGCAGCAAGTGGGGGTGAATAAAAACTGTTAACCAATAACCTAATAGTGAGAACAATGGATTGTAAGTAAGAGATCTACCTTGCAATATTAAATGATCTTGTTTTCTGCATTTACAGACCTGGAGAAGAAGTTACAAGAGGGATATAAGAAAATAAAAGAGAAAGAAGATTACTTGTCTGACCTTGAACAAAATGTGACCAGCATTAAAAAGTTTATTGATGGGAAAGTCTCTCACTACATTGAATGTTCACCATAGTAAATTTCAGTCTTATCCCTTAATATTATCACTTATCCTTGTAATTTTTAAAATTAGAAGATTTTAAATTTTACATAATATAAAGTATATAGTTCTTTTTCAAAATCCTAACATTGATGTGGAAACGTGATACCTTGTAAATTTTTGCAATGTTTTGCTGTTCACAGTCCAATCACCTGAGTGACATACTACTAATTTTAATATAAACTGAACTTATGTATGTTGTCTCTCCTCGACTATTCATTCATAACATTGATTGTTTGGAGGTTGTAAAGTTACAGATTGTAATAAAAACACTGATTTTGAGCACAAATGCAAATATTTAACTTTACATCTGGTTGCCAGTAAACCATTTACAAAGTCACAAGAAGGAACTTATCCTCAATGCACTGGACTTTTAATCAATTGCGACATCTCTAAACTGACATAATTTCCTTACAAAATTATTCTGTACTTTGGTCTCTTTCTTTAAGGTTACTTATTAACAATCCTTGCAATATTTTTTAATCCACTCATGGTACATGGGCATCACTGGCTGGCCAACATTTATTGTCCATCACTAGTTGTCCTTCAGAAGGTGGTGGTGAACTGCCTTCTTCAACTATTGCAGTCCATGTGCTGCAGGTTGACCCACAATGCTATTAGGGAGGGAATTCCAGAATTTTGACTCAGTGACAGTGAAGGAACGGTGATATATTTCCGAGTCAGGATGGTGAGGGACTTAGAGGGGAACTGGCAGCCAGTGGTATTCCCATGTATCTGCTGCCCTTGTCGTTTTGGATGGAAGTGGTCATGGGTTAAGAAAGTGCTGACAAGGGACTTTGGTGAATTTCTTCCTAATCTATTATATCTCTTTCCTGTTGCCTTTTTTAAAAAACATTTGGCAGCCCACAGTTCACTGGACCAATGTATATGAGGTCACAAATGTAAAATCACGCCCACATCTTTGCCACATGTATGAATGACCACCTGGTGCACTCTGCAGTTGGCCATCCAAAAGTTAAAATCTATCCCTGGGGAAGCTTACTCCAAATATTGACTAAACTATTTTTTAAACAGAAGTTTTGCTATACTGTCTTAAAATACCTTTTGATTAGTTTGAAGCTGCAGTCCTTGTTCTCCTGCTGCAATTTTAACTTTCTCCAATCCTTTAGCAATCTTTCACAATTCTGTAAGATCACCTTGCAGCCACTTTATTTTCATATTGTAAAGCTGAATGCTGGGAATTACCTAAAACACACAAAAACAAAAAAGTATCTGTGGAAACAAAACAGAGATAACACTTCAAATCCAATGACGTTTCAGATCTCCAGCACGTGTAGTTCTTTGTTTTATTTTAGCTGGTTATTTCCTGTTGGGTTGTCCTTCTTCATTACTGAAGCTTCAGATGATCATCAGAAACTCTGGATGAATATAGTTTATAGAAAGTTTCTGTGAAAGTAATAGTGACTGAAAACCCATGAGAGAATTCTCAGTGCAGTTCATTAAAGGCAGACATTGGCATCAATGTATCTATGTGTTGCATTATTCTGGAAGATTTGCTGGCTCTTCCTTTCCACTAGAGGGCAGAAACACTTTGAACAGTTTCACATTCATGGCAATGAATTTTCCCAGGCTCTGAACAACATGGGCAATGCTTAAAATATGGCAAGAATTAGATTCTCAAAACATCGAGACAAACAAGTCCAATTTTCTGTAATAGGGATCAATGGATTGGTGAGAATCTTGCTAATGAGCAGGGAATGACCTATTTGCATGTATTAACATCTCACTATCACATAATCTTACCTCATTTATATGCAGGTTGCTACTTTCTCTGGTAGTAGAGAAGCTAGTTTTTTTATTGCAAAAATATATTTTACTCATAGAGGGTAATCTTTATTTACATACATTGTTAATGAAGCCATTCAGATCTACACTCTCTTTACTTACAGAGAATAAATAAACATTGGTGTTCGCCTTTCTCTATATTTGCAATTAACCTCTTGGCATTTCACTGAGGCAGCATTGGTGGTTTTTCCCCACTGCACCTTGGCGGTAGCTGCCCCAAGCTTTAGTGCATCCCTCAGCATGTAATCCTGGACCTCGGAACGTGCCAGTCTGCAACACTCAGTCGGGATCAACTCTTTCAACTGAAAGACCAGCAAGTTTCGGGCAGACCAAAGAGCGTCTTTCACCCAGTTGATGGTCCTCCAGACACAGTTGATGTTTGTCTCAGTGTGTGTCCCAGGGACCAGACCATAGAGCACAGAGTCCCGCGTCACAGAGCTGCTTGGGACGAATTTCAACAAAATCCACTGCACTTCTCTCCAGACTTCCTTTGCATAGGCACATTCCAGAAGGAGGTGTGTGACAGTCTCGTTCCCCTCCACAGCCGCTTCGAGGGCAGTGTGTGGTGGCACAGAGAATCCGGGCATGCATAAAGGATCTCACAGGCAGAGCCCTTCTCACCACCAGCCAAGCAATGTCCTGGTGCTTGTTGGAAAACTCTAGGGATGAGGCATTCTCCCAAATGACTTTGGCAGTCCGCACAGAGAACCACTCGACAAGATCCACCTTTTCCTGAAGGGTCTAGAGGACACTATGTGCTGACCACTGCCTGATGGACTTGTGGTCAGAGGTGTTTCTCTTCACAAATTTCTCCACAAAGGACAAGTGATACGGGACGGTCCAACTACATGGAGCATTCCGCGGCAACGACCCCAGTCTTATCCTTCGCAACACCGGGGAGAGGTAGAACCTCAGTACGCAATGACACTTGGTGCTTGTGTACTGAGGGTCTACGCACAGCTTGATGCAGCCACACACAAAGGTGGCCATCAGGGTGAGGGTAGCATTGCGTATGTTTCTCCCCACTTTGTCCAATTCTTTATACATAATGATCCTTCGAACTCTGTCCATCTTCAAACTCCAAATAACGTGAAAGATGGAACAAAAACAGAAGTTGCTGGCAAAGCTCTGTAGGTCTGGCAGAATCTGTGAAGAAAAAAATCAGAGTTAACGTTTTGGGTCCGGTGACCCGGTTTCAGAACACAAATGAAGTGAAAGTTGGCCCGGGTGACTGCAGCGGCACAGGTTCAGGGAATAGGCCAGACCTGTGCCATATACAACACTGAGAGTACCTCATACCTGATGACCAGGTTTTTACCTGCAATCGAGAGAGACCAGTGTGCCCATCTGCTTAGTTTCTGCCTCAGTTTGATGACACGCTCCTCCCAAGTTTTGGCGCATGCCTCAACCCCTCTGAACCAAAGCCCCGGCACCTTCAGGTAGTTTGTCCTGATGGTGAAAGGGGTAAAGAATTGGTCGGCCCAGTTCCCAAAGAGCATGGGCTCGCTCTCACCGCGATTTACCTCGGCACCTGAGGCCAGTTCAAACTGGTTGCAGATGCTCACGAGTCTGCTCACTGACAACAGATCTGAGCAGAAAACAGCAACGTCATCCATGTACCTGAGGCTTTGATCCACAGGCTTCCGCTACCTGGAATAGCTACCCCTCTCAGGCTCGCATCCTTCCTGAGGACCCAGCAAAAGTCTCGATACAACACACAAATCAGTCAGGCAGGAGAGAGTGGGCAGCCCTGCCTGACTCCAGGTCTGTTTGGGAAGCTTTCTGATTCCCACCCGTTGATTGAGACTGCATTAACGATGTTGGTGTACAGCAGTTGGGTCCAATTGCAGATACTCTCCCCAAAGCCCATTTTGGAGAGCATATCTCTCATGTACATGTGCGATACCCTATCGAAGGCCTTCTTTTGATCCCAGCTGATTAGGCAGGTGTCCACCACCCCATCCTGCACATAAGTAATCGCATCTGTGAGGAGCATGAGGCTCCCAGCGATCTTCCTGCCCAATACAGTACAGGTTTTGTCAAGGTGAATTATCGATCCTAGAGTAGACCCAGCTTGGTTGCTAATAACCTTAGACAGGTTTTTGTAATCCACATTCAACAATGAAATTCATTTCCAATTTCTAATCTCCTCTCTCTCCCCCTTCTGCTTGTAGATGAGGGTGATGATGCCTTTCCTCATAGATTCACACATGGTACCTGCCTGAAGCATACTGTCATACACCACCAGAAGGTCCTGGCCAATCAAGTCCCACAGAGTGGAATGCAACTCGCCCAGTAAGCTGCCCCTTCCAGGAGTTTTATTCTTTTCAAAGGGCTCAAGGGCCTTGGTCAGCTCATCCTGAGTTAACAGCTGCTCCAGCCTCTCCCGTGTGCTGTCATCTTAGACCTCTGTGATAGAGGACAGGAACGACTGGGAGGCTGTGCTGCCTGTGAGCTTCGTGTCATACAATCTGGCGTAAAAGGATTTGCTAATCCTTAGGATGTCAGACTGCAATGACGTTACCGAGCCATTTTCTTCCTTCAGGCTGCTGAGCACAGAGCTCTCCCTGTGCACCTTCTGGAAGAAGAAACACAAGCGTGTCTTATCCCGCTCCACAAAGCAGACCCTGGACTGGAAGTTTATCTTGGAGGCCTCCAAGGCAAAGAGCGAGGCTTGCTGGCTCTTCACCTCCTGGAGATCCTCCATGACATCGACCTCATTCTCTGCAGCAGGAATAGGTTCTGCATACTTTTCTGGAGTTTTGACAGCTTTCCCCGCCTCTCTCTCACCTTCTGAACACTTTTGAGAATAAAGAACCTTTTGATGTTCCCTTTGACTGTTTCCCATCAGTCCACTGGAGACTCAAAGAGGGGTTTCACAGTTCTCCAACCTGTGCAATCCCTTTTGAGCTCCTCAATGTTTTCTGGGGCAACAGTTTCATGTTTAGCTTCCACGTTCCCTTGCCAGCCTGCTGGTCATCCAGCTTGATGTCGGTGGATCTAAGTGAGAACACTCAGGACACAAAAAGGAAATCGATCTTTGAGCGGACAGACCCATCTGGCCGCGACCAGGTGTACCTGCACTGCGCTCCATCTGCAGGGGTGCTGACAACCTCATGCAGCTTGGCGTCTTTAATCGTTTCCATCAGGAACCTGGACATAGCGTTCAGTTTACTGTCACACTCCCACAGATTGTCCATCCCCATTGATGATGCCGTTGAATTCTGTGGCCATAATGACCAGCCTGGACATAGCCAGAAGCTGCTGCAAGACGGCGAGCCGCTCACTCTTTACCGCTGGGGCATAAACATTAATTAGTTTGAGGGGAGCATTCCTGTTCATAACGTCTGCTACGAGGAGGTGGCCGCCCACCACCTCCTTAACTTCAGAGATGGTAAAGTTGCAGCAGAATACCCAGGCCGGAGGAGCAGCAATCACTTCCCCCCCGACCAAATCGAAGACCCATGGGCCCA